TGTGGACCGCCACACCTGGCATTTTTGCACGGCTTCTGGGACTCATGCTTGTGCAGCTGGCACGCTACCAGCTGAGCCATCCTCCTCGTCCTCACCGTCACCTTTTCATGTCATTGCCTGTGGTTTTATTGTTAGTGCTGCTGAGGATGGGTTATGTTGTGTTTCGTTTTGCTGGAGATCCAGCTTGAGTCCCATGCATGCTAAGCCAACTCTCTACCACTGTCACATACTCCAGGCCTAACTGTTTAATGCTTGTATTCTCCTGTCCGTCCTCCCTGCTTGATGCAAGAGTTCTCAAGTGCCTCAGTTTGCCATCTTATCTCTACCTCCAAGAAGATGGATGCAGCCAGAGATCAATGGAGTGGGAATGATGGAATAACTGAAGGATGAAGCCAGCCCCATGTGGCACTCATGCCTGGTATCTCAACATTTTGGAGGCTGAGGCAGCAGGATTGCTGATAGGTTCAGGGCATGCTGGGCTACATAATGAGTCCCAGGCCAGCTTAGGCTACAGTGTGAGACCCTGTCACAAAAACAAAAAAATGAGGACGTCAAATTTATTCTTTTACCATTTGACTATGGTCTTGGTTTTTTTGAGATAGGGGTTCTCTGTGGCTTTGGAGGCTGTCCTGAAACTAGCTCTTATAGACCAGGCTGGTCTCGAACTCATAGAGATCCGCCTACCTCTGCCTCCTGAGTGCTGGGATTAAAGGTGTGCACCACCACCGCCCGGCTGACTATGGCATATTTAGTGTAATTTCAGTTAAGACTCACTAGCCTATTACCTAATGCTCTGGGCACAGCAATCTAAGAAGCTATACCACTATAGACCATTCAGCTTTCTTGAACACATCTTTTTTTTCTCCTCTCTCTAGTAGCACCTTCCTCAGACACGAGTTTACACATATTCCAAATAACTGTTTAAGGAGAAAGTGTGAGGGGCATGCTGTTGTTTCTTCAATACTTCTCCTACCACCTCTCCATCACTGTAGAGCCACTTGAGGCATTCAGTGATCCTCAGCTCCGGGGAAACAGGGACACTATGGAGCCTGACACAAACCCAATAAGGTTTCATTGTCTGTGTCAGTGACGGATTAAGAAATCCCGATCTTGGACAACCAGAGAATGCTATTCTTGAGACAACTAATGGTGGTTTGATGGTGATTAGGCTATCACTCAGACAAGTCTCCTCAAAGATTAGCCTCTGGGCATGTCTGTGAGAGGGTTTCTTGATTGGGCTAACTGAGATGGGAAGGTCGTCCATTGCAGTGGCACCATCCCATTCATTCAAGTTCCAGACAGAATGAAGAGGAGAAAACAAGCTGAGTACCAGCATCTATTTTCTTCTGCCTCCTGACTTTGAATGCAACATGACCGCCTGCCTCAAGAACTGCCACCCTGACTTCACCATACATGATGTTCTCTGTCCTGGAATTGAGAGTTGCTTCTGTCCACTTACACAAGTAACACCCTGACTTCACCATCCATGATGTTCTCTGTCCTGGAATTGAGAGTTGCTTCTGTCCACTTACACAAGTAACAAGTACACACATGCAGTGAACAAACTCAACCCAGCAAGGTCCAGAGAGAAGTCAGATAAGGACTTATGATAAACGTTGAAGAGAGCTTCATGATGTGCCAGCCTTGAGGACTGGATGTGTAGCTCAGTGATGGGGCATTTGCATAGCATTCCCAAGGCCTTGAGTTCAATCCTCAGTATAGAAAGAAGATATATTAGTCCCATATCCTTGGACACTGTGGAATGAAGAAGTGAAGCCATCAATCTCCTATGGCTGCCTTCTCCTTGTGAACCTCAGAGAGCCGAGCCACTGGAGCAAGTGAGATTTGTTGTCAACTCTATGTCAGGGTTCCTTATGGCATCTAGGCCAGTTGAAAGTAAGTCTTCTGGCCTTAAAAACGCCCAGGTACATTTTAAGTATAAACATGTAACTTGGGAATAAGGCCCCGATGGGGACCTGGCATCCAAGCAAGTTTTTAAGAGATTGTAAATGTTATTCCTAAGTGACAAGACAAGGATGAGGTACTTCAAAAAGCACTCTGGACTCAGTGAAGAAAGGGATAGTCTTTAGGATGAGGGTCAGGACCGTGCTGTGAGTGGATACATGGTGTAGATGTGGTCAGAGTAGGAGCATCTGAATCTGGAAGACAAAATATTCACATTGTCCTGACTAGCAAGGAGACATGCATCTGAGGCAGAAGAATTGCTTATGTCAAGGAGTTCAAGACTAACTTGACCACCAAATCGATTCCTTCCCTTTAAAATATGTAAAATAGGAGCTGGAAGATGGATCTGTGATTAAAGTATTTGCTGCACATATGTAAGGACCTGAGTCGTGGTCCCCAGAACTCACATAAAGTCAGACATGCTAGCATACATCTATCCAAGTGCTTCTACAAGATGGGAGGAGACAGGAGCATCCCTGGGAGTTCACTGATCAGCTTGCCTGGCATATGTTGAAGTGAATGGTGAGAGACCTATCTCAAAGATAGTAGAAGACAGGTACCAACACCTGAAGTTGTCCTTGTGGCACGTGTGTATGTGCAGACACAAAGATAATTAATTAATCAGAATAAGATATATATATATATATATATATATATATATATAGTGACACAGATTCTTCCTCTCACTCCAGATGTTCTTTGTGGGCCCAGAGAAAATTAGTACTATTTGTTCATTCACTTGTTCAGGGCTTTTCTATTGAATACTCTTCTGGTTGCTGGGTGTACAGCAATGAACAGAACAGATAAAACAGCCGCCTTTCCCAAGCTCACAGATCGGTGGAGGAGCAGACAGTGAACAGGATGAGCAAGTACACTTACCATGTGGGCTAGATGCTGATGCTGCCATGAAGAAAAGGCTTTGAGGGGAGAATGAGAAGATGGTCAAGTATAGGAAATGATTTAGCCAAAAAGTTCCCAATCTGTGGCCTTCAAACAAAATCTTCTAAGAATGGCCAGAACTACATAATCAGATGCTGTCTTTAAAAAAATAAAATATCATGCAGCCTGAAACTCACTGCATAATCAAGGATGACCTTGAACTTCTGTCCTCCTCTTTCCATCTCCTAAGTCTTGGGATCAGAAATGTGTGGGACACCACACCTGTTTTTATACAGTGTTGGAGATCAAACCCAGTGCTCTGTACATGCTAGGTAAGCATTCTACCAGCTAAACTATGTTACCAAGCTCCTTGCTGTTTTGACTGTACAAAGCCCTAAACCAAATGGATTTCCTTGAAGGCTATGTTTGATTACGTAAATAAAATCTTTCCAGTGTGTTCCAAGAGAGAAAAGGTCTTAGGTAGGTGACATGAGTTAAACCTGACTGCCAAGACCCAGCTAGTCTTGCTGCCATTCTTCTCAATTGGCACCCATTCTGTGACCTACATAGCTCCCATTTTTTAATTCCCAAGTTACAGTCTCCAAGGAGGGACTGCCTGGTGGTTACTGGAGACCTGGTGTTTTAGTTTGATTTCCTAGTGCTGTGACAAAACTAACCAAAAACAACTCGAGGAGAAAAAGGTTTATTTGGCTTACATATCCTGCTCAGTCCCTCATGAAGGAAGTCAGGGAAGGAACCTGGAAGCAGAAATGGAAGCAGAAACCATGAAGGAATGGCTGCCTAGTGACTTGCTCTACATAGCTTGCTCAGCCTGTTTTTTTATACACCCCAGGACCACCTGCCTGTGAGTAGCACAGCTCACATTGGGTTGAACCCTTGCACATCAATCATGAACTAAGAAAGCGCCCCCACAGATTTGCCTGGCGGTCAATCTGAGGTTCTCTCTTTCCAGATGACCCCAGCTTGTATCAAGTTGACAAAAAAAATGACTAGCACATCCGGAATAGACCTAGAAAGGTGAAGATTTGCGTGACTTTAAGCTTTGAGCTAACCGGACTGAAGAAGAAGGTCTTGTGGCTCTTTTTCATGCAAAAGAATCCATGTAGAGTCCCAATAGCCAAAGAAGGCTGGAGAATGCAATGCAGCGGAGAAGTACATACCCAAGACCTGGGTTCACGCCCCCACTCTGCCTTCCCCTAAAGAAGCAAAGCAGACAGAATGGTCCCTTCCCTGCCACCTTCTTCCTTTTTTAAATTGCACAAATAACTTGCCAAATGCTTTAAAATGCTAAATAAAATAATTTGTTGTTTTAGGGACTTGTGCTCATGTACTGATATACACACATAAATATAAACAAATAGTAAATATAAAATATAAATAAATATAAAAATATAAATAAATAAAATGTGAAAATAAAAGGAAAAACTTATTTTAATTACATACATATATCTTTCTTTAAAGACTTAAGATATAATGGTTAAACTAACGTCCTTTTTTTTTTTTTTTTTTTTTTGAGACAGGGTCTCTCAGTATAGCCCTGACTGTAAAGGAAATCACTATGGAGACCATGCTGGCCTTAAACTTGTAAAGATCTGCCTCCCTCTGCCTCTCAAGTGCTGGGATTAAAGGCATATGCCACCATGCTCAGACTGAAGTCTCTTTTAATTGCCCCCACCATTCCTGGCCTTCTCTTCCTGGCCCCTGGTCAGTGAATTGATTTAGCCTGTATCCTTGCATGTTTTCTCCTAAACAACTCCTTCTTTAGGACCTGTGCTCTTTTACAGTCTATGCACCTGATGCACTTTAAAAAAAACATAAATGTTAACTAAGGATACTGAAATTGACATCCTTTGTTTAAGATGCTGTTAGCCCTAGCCATTCACACCTAGCCAGGAGCTGGTCTGAGGAAGAACCCGGGAGAAAACTAGTATTTACCAAGGCTGTTGTAGGTTGCAGGCATTTGCTTTAAGCTATTTGTCAAACGTCTTAGATTTGGTCTAAGATTTGAGCCAAATCTTTACCTAACCTGTGGCAAACTGATAATGTTGCCAACTGTAGCTCCCATAGAATAGTAATGGTCTGAAAAGATAATCAGAGAAACAGTCACCACCTAGCACCGTCATTTCTCCAGATACCTGTTTCCTGGTGGATTCATTCCTCCCTTCATCCCAGAGGTAAAGAGGCTCTTTGAGTTTTCTTACTTGAAGAGGTTCTGTTGACAAGGCAGGAAGTGGAAGTCAGTGAATAGCCAAACATGGTGTCACCTGCCTGGAACCCCCCAGCACATGGGAGGCAGAGGCAGAATGACCACTAGAAGTCCAGATCTAGCCTGGATTACAAGCAAGTTCCAGGCTAACCAGGGCTACACATGGAGACCCTGTCTCAAAATGGTAAGAAGGGAGGGAGTGGGGAAAGGAAGGAAGGGGAGAGAAAATAAAGCTGGAATTTTCATTTCCAGTTTTGTTTTCAAAACATTATTTATGGTGGACCATAGGTCAGAGGGAGGTGGAGGGAAAGCTGAGGGAAAAGAGCTTCAAGGTTAGAAACAGGCAGATCCAGGGAGAACAAATGGCCCACCCCACCTTTTATCCCACCTTCTGTTGGGAAGCAGGCAGCCTCACAAAGAAATGATCTCATGTTGGGCGTTTGGAGTGTAGCCGGATGCTCACAGCTTAGCTTTGGCTTCTTGCCCTGGTGGGGACGACAGCGGCCAAGCCACTTATCTTCCAAATACCAACACATGGATCCAGATAGTGATCTGAAACGTAGTGACCAAGCATAATAGCTGTGACCTTCCTCAAGGACATTTAGCTCATTCGGTCCACTAATGACTGAGTAGACCTATCCTGCAGCACCCCATACCCACCCCAACCCCCAACACACACTGCCTCTTGCCCTGATCCTGTGCTGAACCCTCTACAGGCATCCTGTTCAATCCCATCCTCAGGGCAACTGTCTTTCCACTTTTGTAGATAAGGAAACTGAGGCTCTTGGGTAGGTTCCATGCCAAGGATTCTCATCCCTGAAGCTGTAGCAGCAAATTTCAGCAGCCCAGTGTAACTGAATCTATGGAATTGAGGAAATCAGAATTCCAAACCGAAGGCTTAAGCATGGGTTACACGGCGTGGGCAACTTGTTCATTCTTTTTCTCCATTCTGTCTTTTCATAGTATGGCTGTGCTTTCAGGAATGCTTGTGTTATTCAAAAAGGATTCCAGAAGCTTCTGCTGCTATAGCTATCATTGTGGATATGCAAGTTTGCTTCTCTGGTGCCTCAAGCAAAAGTACTTGTTGAGGCCCCATCTTAAAAAAAAAAAGTCTCCTGTGTTGCCTGCCTGGCCTGGAACTCAGAGATCTGCCTGCCTCTGCCTCTGGTGATTGAGCTGACAGGCTGACTTGGTCATGTCACAAACCTCCACCCCTTGATTTTTTTAAATTAAGCTGCTTTGCCCAAGAGTGCCTTCCCCAGCAGGGTGGCAGCTGATGGGTGAGGGAAGGAAGAACTGCGGCACCAGGGCTTAAGAGGCTTCCTGAAGAAGAGTTTAGCTTGAATATGATGGGCTGGAAATGAGGGTTGATTCTGGGACCAGCGTTCAAATAATCCTCTACCGCTCCAGCATTGGAGCCTGAGCATTAGAAATGGGGCGATGCTGTATTAATGACCCTATCATAATGACAGGTGGCATGTGCTTGGTTCTAGGCATGAGCACAGGCTGTGCCTGATTTTAATAGTTGCTTGCCTAATGTCTATTTTTCTTATTCTTTGTCATTGTGTATGGAGCAAACTGAGCCAAGTTAAACATTCGCTTGTCCTTCTTTGAGCATTGGGAGGTGAGCAGGCTTTGTTTCATGTACTGGGGCATAAAGTGCACTGTGGTATTAAATGGGTGGAACACTCAGAACTTGTTCTTGCTTTTACCCATCTCTCCTTTCTTCTCTAGTCATGGGCTTGATGGCTGGAGTTTAAGCAGTCATTCTGAGGTCATGGAGATCACAGATGTCATGTTAAAATGATGAAGGAAAATTACTTATGCCTGGCCAACTTTATATGTCTCTTTTAAAGAGTGTTTTAGAATTTGTTATTTCATATGTGTATTCACATATGATATTTGTGTGTGAATGTAAGTATGCACATGCCACTATATATGTGTAGAAGTCAGAGGATAACTTTTAGGAGTCCATTTTCTCCTTCCAACATCTTTCCATGGATAGAACTCAGGTCATTAGGCTTGGACAGCCAGTGCTTTATCCCTGGGAGCCGCCTTGCCAGCCCTACATTCCCTTTTACTAGCCTTCTTTGGATCCTGTGTTAGTATGCTTGTTTGTCTCTTTGCCTCATTGCACAGATTTGTGAGAAAGAGAAATCCCCCACTGGTTAGAATCTGATAAGGTGAAGCGTGGTCCATGGGCCCACAACAGCAGCACCTGGGATCTAGACTGAGATACAGCTTTGGGCCAGTCCGCAGATCCCCAACAGAACCCACAAGCTCCTCATTGACCTCATGGCTGCATTGAAGGGCAAAGGGTGGGAAGTTCAGGGGGCAACTCTGCAGGTAAAAGTGTTTGCTGCTCAAGCATGAGTACCTGAGTTGGACCCCAGTACCCACATAAAATCTCTCCTGGTATACCTGTAATCTCAGCACTGTTGTGTCCCTGGGGATGACTAGCCAGTCACAGTGGCTGAACTGGCAATCCCCAGGCTCCACTGAGAGACCCTGACTCAAAACAACAGTGTAAAGAATGATTGAGGACATTCATTGTTGATCTCTGGATTCCATACATATGTACACACACATGTGCCTACACATGCACACAATCACACACATACACACACAGAGCTCATTGTGTGCCTTTTCTATAATTAAATTTTGCTATGAATAAAATACAATAATTCTAAAGCATGAAGACCCATGGTTTAGTAGTTGCAAACTGTGACTGATGGCCACCTAACTCATACAAAGAGGTTGTCTGGATTCCACCAGATTGAATTCAGTGACCTTCGTGGTACCATCAGCTTCGAAGTTTGAGTCTGAAATGTGCCCAGGCTCAGCTGTTTGAATGCTTGCTCTGCTCTTCTGGTGCTCTTTGGGGAGGCCATGGAAACTTTGGGAGCAGGAGATATGTCTGGCAGAGATATGTCACAAGGACAGGCCTTTAAAGGGTAGAGGCCAGCCTGCTTCTGATCTGAGCTCTCTGCTTCCTGTCTGCCACCACAATGTGACCAGCTACAAGCTACCAAAATGATGAGGATGCCCCCAGACTCTCCAGTCACCTCACTTTCCCCAGCATCCTGGACTGATATCACCTGAAATGTGAGACAAAGTAAACCCTTCCTCCTTTGAGTTACTTGTGTTGGGTATTTTGTCACAGCAATGGGAAAAGTAACTAACATAATTGGGCTAACTCACCATAGCCAGAGTAGTGTGCTAAGAGCAAGTTCCTGTACAGTGTTTACTATGTTCCAGGAGCTGTTAGAAGCACTGTGCCAGCCACTTGTTTAATCTCCATGGTAACCGTATGACTCATTCCGTAGATGAGTAAGCTGAGGCACAGAAAGGGCAAGTTACAGAGTCAAGACTATAGAAGCCATATTCTCTCTGCAGAGTGTACTGTCTTCTTTGAACTGGCCCCAGTCTCTAGAGAGAGTTTAAGAGCACCTAAGAGCTGGCAGAGAGAGTACAGGCCAGATAAGAGTTAATGTTTCATTTTCACCTCCAAGTCAGTGAGGCTTGGGAAGTGAGAGTTAGACATCACTGGATTTTAAACCTCACCCCCTCAACATGTGTTTGTTGAGCACCTGGTGGGAATGTGTTGTGAACTGGGGACTACACAGACAAGGGGGCAGGTGGCCAGGTGAAGAGTTCATATGTGACAAGTGAGTCCTGGGAGGAAGCATGTAGAGTTGAGAAAATCCATGGGTGCACAGACGAGGGACACTAATCCTGGGTGTTTCCAAGAAGAAAGATACTGGCAGAGACCAGAAGGGTAGCCGGAAGACATTCCACTGTACCCACTGTGCCACTGTGCTGGGGGCTTGCAGAGGGGTTGCTAACAAGTACAGAAGCTCGGAGGTGGGCTGAAGAGCCAGCCCTGTTTTTGATAGCCAGCCCTCAGGGACGGGTTTTATGGTCTTGCATTTTTCAGGTGAGGAAACTAAAACTCGGAGAGGCTTAGGCACAAGTTGGAAGCTAGTGTGGCCCAGGAAATTTAGCAGCTGAAGCAGGTTCTAAATCCAGATCTGAGGCAAAGGCTATGTTGTTCCTTCCACACGCCACCCCACCCCTTGCTGCCAGGCGCCCTGTGCTAACTGTGCCTAGATACTTGGCGCAGCAACAATACCAGTGCTGGGTGGCAGCCATAGCCCTGAGGGTTCCCCTGCATTCATCTCTTTCTCTTGATGTTTGGAGCTCCAATTGGTCTGGATCATCATAGTGAGGGTGCTCTGTGCCTGTGCTCAGCTATGGTGAGTGACTGCTCCCCCTTGCCTATCTGGCTGGCTTAAACCAATAAGATGCCAGCAAATATCATATCTAAGGATGCCAGCCCCGGGTCCCTGACCCTATTCCTCTGTATGTTGTCCACTGTCCACCAGCTATTATGCTAAACATCTTGGTGTAATGTCTTAACAAACCACTGTCCGCTATCATCCCTGGGCTATCAGATTTCTCTGGTTTTGCTTTTGTTTTTGACCTTTTACTGTTCTGATGCAAGGAAATCATGGAGATGTGCTGCAGCCATCTCAGGTTGAATTAATGAATGTTTATGGTATAGAACCAGGGAAGTGGACTTGAGTCAGCCCCCACTAGGGAAGAACATTCAGTTCTGGGAGGAAGGATGCCAAAGGCAGTCAGTCCAGCGGAAGGTGTCCAGAGAGTGAAAGGCTCAAAGCCAAAACGAATGAGTAACACTGAAAGCATTTGGGGTTGTCTGGCCTGCCTCGGATGACTCAGGAGCAGATCGCTCCGGAACAGCTCTTGCTCACTGGCCCCCACACAATCCATTTCCTTACTGAAGCTGAGGCTTCATTGCATCTGTCTCAACCCTGCCCAGCTCTCCTAACTTTCCTCTTTCAAAGCCAGGGCCTGCTATCTCATTTGCTGCTTTCTTTCCTTATTAAGACAAACAAGAAGAAACAAACTGCTGTGCATTGAGTAACTGACATCTAAACAGATCCTCCTGTCCATTGTTTGTCCATCTGTCTGACTTACAGAAGATGGCACTGCTCCTGCCTGCATCATCATCATCCAACATTCATCTACCCCTGCACACTCTCTCACTCTTCTATAAGGAAGCTCCAATCTTGAGCCGGTATGAAGGTTTAGTGAGGAGTCAGGGTACACACTGATAGTCTGAATGGCCAGCAATTAAGCCATGTGGTAGAAAGAGAGAAGCCATCTCTCAGAAATGTTCTCTGATCTCTGCACTTGCACCATGGCATGTGTGTGCCCACACACATGCATACAAAATAAAAGAATAAATGTAAAACACAGGTAAGAAACTTAAATCTTTTATGTCCTCTAGTAACGGCCCCTCTCCCTCTCCTCTGCTAGCCTAGTTACCTATGGTTGGTGAAAGTGTATGCATGTGGTTTTGTTTGTTTGCTTGTTTGTTTTGAGATAGGTCTCACACATAGCTCATGCTGGCCTGAAACTTGAAATCCTCCTGCTTTAGGCTTCTGGGTGCAGAGACTAGCGCCATGTGCCATCACGCCTATCTCTATTCAAGCAATCTTTCTGCCTTCTTACCAACACAGCTCTGTTAAACCTTTCAGATCATACCACAGCAACCCAGCATCCCACTAAACAATGCCGCAATGTTTGGTTGCCATTTCTGGCACTAGCTTTATTGAAATATAATCCACAGACCCTAAAAATTCACGCATTTAAAAGTATGCAATGCAATGGGCTTAGAGATATTCATAGGACCATAAGCACAATTTGAGAACATCATCACTGCCATCACCCCATAATCTTCTAGTCTCCTACCCCAAACCTAGATAACCATTAATTTGCTTCCTGTCTCTAAGGATTTGCTTGTTCAGAACAATCCGTGTAAATGGAATCAAGTAATAGCAATGTAATCTTTCCTGTTTGGCTTTCTTTCACTTAGCAAAATGTTCCCAAGTTTTATCCTCATGATGGTATAGACCAGTTGTCTACTGGTTTTTATGGCAGATAACCTTATTGAACAGATATGCTTCCCGTTTGCGTTTCTCAGCTGATGGACATTTGAGTTATCTGTACTCCTTTCTGACTGCTAGAAAGAAAAGTGCAATACACATTTGTGTGCATGTTTTTGAGTTGGCACACATTTTCCTTTCTCTTGGGCACACACCTGTCATTGGTAGCTCCAATGAAAATTCAGTTTGGGCTTTTTATAGAGCTGCCATTCCCGTTGGTAGATCCTAATTTCCTCACATTCTTGTCTTCACTAGCTGTTAACTGTCTTTTTTCACTACTACTGTCCTAGTGATGCAAAATGAAATTCTGCTGTGGTTTTGGTCTGTATTTCCATGATGACTCTACGGCCTTCCATCTTTGCCCAAGGTACTGAACATCTTTTGATGTTACATCTTCCCTGCAGAAACACCACATAGCTTCTTTGTACATTTAAAACTTTGGAGTTATGTGTCTTTTTGCTACTGTGTTGTACAAATTCCTCTTTTATTTTCCACATGCTAGTCCCTTACCAAAAGCATGATTTGCAAATATTTTCTCCCATAATACTATGTTTTCACTTTATTAGTATTTCCTTTGATACATTCACTGTCTACTTTAGATGATGCCCAATTTACCTTTTCAGTGTTGTTGCTTGTGCTTTTTAGTGTCACATCTAAGGAATTATTGCCAAGCATGGGATCATAAAGATTTATGAGCCCAAGATGGTAAAGGTCTAAGTTTTCTTCTAGGAGTTTTGTAGTTATTAGTTTTCATCTCTGATTCAACTTGAGTTAATGTTTATACATTGAATTTCTCCATCAATTTAAGATCAGCTTATTTTTCATGAAGAATCCAGCTGTGATTCCTATATAGATGGAACCAAATAAATACATTTGTGGAGTTTTATTATCTTTTTTTTTGAGACTTGGAACTGGATTTGTAGACCAGGCCGGTCTTGAACTTTCAGAGATCCTCTTGCCTCTGCCTCCTGAGAGTTGGGATTAAATGTGTTGTGTCACCACCACCCGGTTGAATTTTATTATCTCAACAACATACATACACGAATATATTTTTGTAAACACCCATACTCACATGAACACGCACACATGCTCATACATACATACACAAAACTTTTTCAAGAGAAAGAAGGAAGGAAAAGATCCAATAATCTCCTTCGGATACTCATCCCAGTGACTAGCCGAACTCCCATGAAGCCCCAGTCTTAAAGTTTTCATACCTAGCACAAGAAAGATGGCTCAGCAGTTAAGAGTGTGTACTGCTCCTACGGTAGACAGAGCTCAGCTCCAAGAACCAGCATCAAATGTCTCATAACCACCTGTAATTCCAGATCTAGGGGATCTGATGACCTTCTCTGCCCTCTGTGGACATTTATACTCACATGCACACACTCATGCATGGGAACAAAGAGAAAATAGAGATAGCCTCCCTACCATCTTGAATTGGGTGATAACTTTAAAAGTAAAACCTCAAAACACACACACACACACACACAAAGTACAACTTAAAATAACTACAGAATATTAAAGTATCTAGACCAAGTTAAAAGGCAGACAACACAAAGTTTAAAAACATTGACTGTACGTAGCTCAGTGGCTGACTATTTGCTTAGCATGCCTAACATCTAGCGTTCAATTCCCAGGACAATCATTTAAAACATTGAAAAAAAGTTTAAAGTTTACTTAAATATAAAGTTTACTAACTAAAAGTAAAAAGTAAATAATTAATTAATTAATTAAAATGTACAATCCATATCATAGACAAAGAGGCAGCTGCTTTAATATCATAATTTTAAAGGCAAAATAGAGAAATTTAGATTATTTATAAATACACACACAATATAAGTTGAATAAAGAGCTTGTTGTGAAGACATGAAAATCTGAGTAAAATATGGTTGTGGCAGAGCAAAACATAAAGTAAGAGAATGGATTGACAAGCACTCCCCATAATGGGAAAGAAGAAAAAAGACAGGTGTGTTTCTAGTGGCCGGAGAAGATCTGAGATAGTTCAATTCCCTCAACAAACTGATAATACTATGTTTGACCAAATATCCTATTTCTATGAGTCTCTGCCACCAATGTTTCAAATACATCAACAAATGTGTAAGCAGAAGAAATTTTAGAATAATTGCAAGCTAACAGAAAAGTTTGAAGTACCACAAAGAGCTCTTTCTCCCTGAATCAAAGGAAATACATTGCTGACCATCTAGAAATATATCCAAATGCATGCTTCATTGCTTTGGGGTAGAGTCCCATTTTATTTCCTGAAAGTTGGAAAGTTATAGTTGGTCTCTCTACAACTACCAAAGTCAAGAAATTAACACCT